TCCTCCGGCTCTTGAAAAATGCATTTCGGTGGAATGGGAGTACCTGGCAAGGGCGTTCGCAAAACCCACCCGCCACCCCCTTCCAAACACACATTAGGACCCCACCCACGATCGTGCACACCACCGGACTCTCACCCCTTCACTACCACTCTAGCTTCCAAAGCTGGGGTCCAGGGCCCTCTCCACGTCCCGCCCCCGTCCCCGCTGGGCCTCGGGGTCCTCTCCCGCTCGAGAGAAGTCAGGAAGGCGGGAAGGGGAACCGCGGCCGGGGGTCAGGCCGTTACCCTCCGTAAGCCGCGGGCTGCCGGGGTCCCTGCTTCTCTCCGCAGCGCCCATGTCCAGCTCCCGGATGGGAGAGCGCCCTCCTCCAGCTCCTCCGCCTGCTCCTCCTCCTCCTGCGCCTCCTCCGCCTCCGCCTCCGCCTCCTCCTCCTCCGCCGCCTCCGCCGGCCGCCCGGACTGCCGGGCTGCTGCGGTCGTCGCGGCCCGGCTCGGCACAGCCGGTCGGCTCCTTGGCCCCGCGCAGCGGCCTGCTCTCCAGCACCTCCCGGTACGTGATCGCGTCCTTCTTCTCCTTCACTTTCTGGTCAAAAGACTTGGAGACGAACGCCGTAAGTTCTTCCATCGCCGCCGCCGCCCGTCAGCCCCGCGCTCAACCTCTCGCGGCCGAGCCCCGCTCTTTTTTTCCTTCTTCTTTTTTTATTGCTCCAGCCCCCCCAATAATAACACATCAATGGGGCAGGGGGTGGGGGAGGAGAGGGAGGAGGAGGAAGAAGAAGAAAAAGAGAAGAAAGAAGAGGAGGAGAAGAAAAAGAGAAGAAAGAAGAAAGAGGAGGAGAAGGAGAAGGAGAAAAAGAAGTAAGAGGGAGAGGAGGAGGAGGAGGGGGAGAAAGAGAAGAAAGAAGAGGAGGAGAAGGAGAAGGAGAAAAAGAAGTAAGAGGGAGAGGAGGAGGAGGAGGGGGAGGAGGGGGAAGAGGAGGAGGAGGAGAGGAGAAAGGGCGGGGGCTGCCGGAGGGAAATGGGAACTGATGCTTCCCTGCCGGAGCGCTCTTGTTCAATGTTAAGATCTTTGACAATTCTTCCTGCGGAGAGTTCACATCTGATAGCGACGCTGCGCTTGAAGTCTCACTATTTATACTTCCTAAAGGCGGCCCCTTGTTCCGAGTAAATTACCTCCTCTCGCAACTCGGAGTGAGCCTTCCTGGGTAGCAGCCGGGCCCTACCTGGGGGGCGGGTGGGGGTTTGAGAGAGAGAGACTGAGAGATTGAGGCTGGAGTCCCGGCGGGCTGGGGCTCAAGTGGGAGGGCAGCGCAGGGGGCCAGAGGGGGCGGGGAGAGGAGGCAGGTCCCCGGCCGTCCCGGTCTTCAGAAAGCCTCGACTGCCTGTGCTCTTGGCCATTAATCTAGGGTTGACAAGAATCCCTAATTAATTTAATTAGGCGTGGGTTTTGCGTTGGTGTCACGACTTAGTTAAGCACTGGGGAGCTGCGTGGACTCCGCGGGGGCGGGGCCAAGAGGAAACTGACAAGTGCGCGGCTCCGGGAGTCAGTCTGGCGTCCGGACCCGGCATCCGATCCTGCAGCCTCCAGCCTGGTCAGAGTGCGGCGCAACTGCTGGGCCCTTTCTTGCTCGCCCCTGCCCTGCGTCTGGCGCCCGGCAGTAAATAGGCCCCGCACCCCAGTCCTGCATTCCCACCCCTTCTCCCCCGCTCCCACTTCCCCACCGCAGTTCCACCGACCGGCATCGTCCTTCCTGGCTTCACATCCTTGCCCAGAGTCAGGGTTCTCTGCAGCTTCTCCCGCCCGCGCAGCTCCTTTTAGGAGCTTCCCGGCCCGCAGCCAGGCTGAACCCGGGTATTCACCGAGCTCCCCGTCCCGGTCCATTATTTCACTCCACTTCTCGCGTCCCGAGTCCAAGCCCACTCCTCTATGGACGGACCCCGCTCCAAGGGGCTGGTTGATTTAACACATTTCCCGAGCAGCTGTTCCCTGACAGATCCTATTTAAAAGTCTTTCCTTAGCGCTTAGTCAAGGACAGCTCCATTTCTTTTCCTATGTGAAGTCTCAGGACTCTCACCCTTCCTTCCTTACGACTCGCTGCCCCCGGACCTCTCCTGAGATGAACTTCAGGAGCTCTTTAAGCAACCTGGAACACATCCTAGTCGATTTCCTACTTTTGAAAAACAAGAGATTATCCCTCTTCTAGTTTGAAAAACAATCAACGTTAAGTTTGTGCCCCGTCTAATTTATTTATCGTGTACTGTAGAAAAAGAGACGCTCTCTGGGAGAAAGATCTCTTTCTCTCTCTCCTCTCCTCTTTCTCTTCAACATACGATATCTGAACTATTTTCATCAAAACGGTTTGTTATATGGAAAGACCAACTATATTCTTGAGTCATTTATCTGAATTGTGCAGGACAGGGCTTGATGTAAGAAGTGTGGCTATGCAAAAGAATATTTACATACGAAAAGTTTTATTTACTTGACTGTGTAAACAAATATACCTCTTTGTGGCTTTGTGGACATTTTCAAGTATTCAGAATATTAACGTAGGCTTTTTGATATTAAAGGTAACTCTGTCATTATCTTGGATCTAATATTCAGTAAAAATAAAAGCAGTTACAAAACATTAATACGTATATCTTACATCAACTGGTTAAAAACAAAATTAGCAGGTTAATTTGAGAAGTTCCATCAAAACAACTTGAAATACTTGTAAAGAGAACACAGTTATAAATTGAGATATTAGTGTTTCTTGGATATATATAAATAGAGGCTATATATAACTATATGTCATACTACAATACTCCTCAGATTAAAATGCTCACATTTGGTGATTTTAAGGTAGATGGAAATCATGCTTTTTAGAAATGTTGCTTTGCCTTTTTTCTCTTGAATTATGAAGTTATTTTCCTTCCTCAAACATTCCATTTTTTGCTACTTTTAGGAGAAACAATTAAGATCTTTCAGTTTTCTGCAGGCATAGCTTTTAGGCATTAATGTCTTATTTGAGTACTTGCTTTTGTTTTATGACACCACAAAAGAGACTCAAATACTCAAACTTTCCTAAGTTATATGAATTTAGGAACATGATTTCACATTGAGTCTTGGGCTACAACTACCTGCAAACACTTTAATTCTGATATTATCAGAAGGGAATCATCATAAAACTTCAGTCCTTTATGCCACAAAAGAGACTCAAATACTCAAACTTTCCTAAGTTATATGAATTTAGGAACATGATTTCACATTGAGTCTTGGGCTACAACTACTTGCAAACACTTTAATTCTGATATTATCAGAAGGGAATCATCATAAAACTTCAGTCCTTTATGAAAATCCATTTTTATGATTATTTAGTAGAATGACCAGTAATGGGGTAAGCTAAATGGATATGGTGCTCAAAGAGCTCTCAAATTGAAGTGTTAGATACATATTCACAAACAGCGCCAAAATAATCCCTATTAGAAGTCTGATAAGGGATCAGAAGACCCACCAGCTACTTCTTTGCCCTTTCAAGTACATGACTTTTTTTAAAAGTCTGAACTCATACTCCATCTACTGAGTTTGAGAGAAGGATGACCACTTTACAGGTAACCAGGGAAGGCTTGGACACAACTGTTATGTAATTCAAACCAGTAGATTTTCCCATGGTTTCAGCTTATTGGCCCATTGTATATTTTAGGAATAGCGGTGTATCAGATGGTGCTATGAGAAATCTACAGTGTCTGACCATGGATTCCCACCGGCCCAAGGGAAGTTTAATTTTTAAAAATATCCACCGTTTAAAATCATATACTAATAAATGCTGATGAAGTTCTAATGATGTCTCATTAAACAGCAAATATTTTCCAGAAACAGGACATTTCAAAATGCCGTATTGGTAAAAAGCATTGAGGGTAAAGCTCAGCTGACACCCTGTGGACAGATGTACAGGGTTCAATAAAATTCAAGACCCCAAGGATTCTCCAGCTCTTGAATTATTTCAAATAAACATGTACTGTTGTAGCTAAGTTTTAAAACGGTCCCTCAAAACTGGCTAGTTAAGGTACACTTATTTAGAAGAAATATATTATGGAGGTGATTTTCACCAGCTCAAATGTTTGCGGAAAACTGTAGCTTGGTTATCTAGTTATGAATGAGCTGTTTCTCACAGTCGACGCACGCCAAGGCCAATAGTTTATTTACCTCCTTAGCGTTGCTTACTTATTATAGTAAACAGGAAAAAGTAATGTTCATGCAAGGAAAAATAAGTAATGTAGTATGCGTTACGGAAAATGCTGAATCGCTTTAATTACTATTGGTTTAAAAATTTTTTTTTAACCTATAAATTTGATTTCTCTTTCAGAAGAAACCTCCTCTCCCCGCCTCGGGGCAGCTTTTTCCCATTTCTCTACCAGCCACTTACTTTAAACTGAGAAACTAATTTTTTTTAACCTATAAATTTGATTTCTCTTTCAGAAGAAACCTCCTCTTCCCGCCTCGGGGCAGCTTTTTCCCATTTCTCTACCAGCCACTTACTTTAAACTGAGAAACTAATTTGCACTCAACCTGTGAGTGCCTTCACCTTCAGGGCAGAAGAAACGCGGACTTTTAATGCATTTTTGCAAATAAATCATTACAATGGAATCACACACAACTCCATACAGACACACTCCCATGATTTATTATTGTTGGGCTAGTATCCCCCTCCCCCAGCATGAGATAACAAATTTTCCTACGTGTGGGTGTCTTAAACATAACTTCCTACGATACAGATTTGTTTACTGATTAACAAATTGTAACGATAACTACAATTACTAAGGCAGTAACGCCCTCCAGTCCCAACTTTATTGCTTTTTGGGAACAGGATAATCAAATTGAATAAGCACGCAAAAACAAATACCAAACAAAAAAATTGGCGGCGTGACAATCGACTCTCTCGGCATTCCTACTGCCTGGCAGCATCCATCGATGCACTCGAAAGCTCGGCTGGCGCTGCCTGGCGCTGGAACCAGGAAGGCGCTGAGCTTAAACTGAAGCAAGTTCGGAGGACGCCGGTGGAGTCTTGATCTGAAGAAGCGTTTCCATGTTTGCGGCGCTTGCACGTTCACGAGAGGTGTGAACCCGAAGGTCAGGACCCAGGTGATGCCAGCGTCCAGACCCCGGGGGGCGTCGCCAGCGACTGCTGGGTTCCGAGGCCCTGTGCTGGGGTGAGGCGGTGTGGGGCCTGGCGCAGTCTGTGGCTGGGAGCGGGCGGAGGGGTGGGCGGTGGGCCCGTGGCGTGCAGAGCGGCACTGTGCGCATGCGCCCCTCACCTGGAAAGTTTAGGAATCTCTGGGTCAAGCCTGTGGGGTCCTAGGGCAGTGGGCGGCTTCAGGCCTCAAGCTTGACCCTCTGTTTGGAGGTAGTGTGGGAGAGTTAGCCTACTCCTCCCTTCGCCCCTAGCCCCTGTTCCTTGATCGCTGCTTTTGTGTTTCCTGACTCATCTTGCAATATATGCCTGGTGCTTCCTCACTAGCTCCAGGTAGGGTGGAGCAAGGAGGCTGCATCCTGGTGAACTCTGTCCCACCCACTCTGCTGTCTCTCTACCTTAAATACCTTTCCTTTTGACTCTCCCTGACCCTTCCAGGCTCACACTCCCCTGCTAAGAGGAGAGATGGTGCAGCGTACAATAGATCTTCCTGCCTTGAATTATATATTCGCCTTAAACACTCTATACTCTTGTATATTCCCTTGACTTCTGAACTTGTTGTAATGGGACTAAGAGCATATTTAAGAGTTACCCTTAAATTCTGTTACTTTTGTGAGAGGTTATAATGCACCATAACGTATGTTACCTGCTCTTGATTTCAGGTTAATCTTTTGTTTCTTTTCTTTTCTTTTCTTTTTGAGTCAAGTGAAGCAGTGATTTCTTAACATAATTCCTCTCTCAGAGGTTTTGTGTCTTTAAATGCACATTGGTAGTCTTAAAAATTTTTTGTTTTAGTTGGATTTTCAGAATTAGCAGTAACACGATTGTATTTCGACTAACTAGGTAGTAGGTAGTTAAATTCAAATGTCTTGTGTTGTATTTATCAAGAAAGTATTTGAGTTGTCATCTTTGAGCTTAGATATAAAAGCTCTAAGTGAAGGAGATACAGAGTTCTCAGGTTTAAGGATTGGAACAGATGTGACAGGCGTAACCTTGTAGGGAAACTGGGTAACCTCTGAGAGCCTCTCTAGTCTAAGAGTCTATAAATATTTACTTTCTTTGCAGGCAAAGGAGATTTCTTGCTAAGCGGTAGCACTTTATTACTGTATGTTGTTCAATAAGAGGCCTAAAAATGTCCAAATCTGAGAAAGACAAAGGCAGCTGGCACTTTGTATTAATTGGTCTTACCAACTCAACCAGTCTCAGCAAGCAGAGTTGTGTTTATGAATTGGAAAACTTCTGTAATAGGGTTGTTATAGTAGATATATAGATGCATTTTCTGCTTTCATTTCCAAACCATGGGGGATTGATAATGCTTTTTTAAAAAAGAAATAACTAGTCCACAAATTTTTAGTTGTAATGGGAGAAGTGTTTTGACAGAATTCTTTTATCTGTTTTGAGTTTTCCTTTTTTATTTTTTATGTTCAAATTTCACCTCTGTTCTTTTACTGCCTTTTCATGGTTCTGTGCTTGTTTGTGGATTTCTTCACGTGCTAAATAATGTTCGCCCTGTTTTTTACTTTTTGCTACCTCTTCAAGATGGATTTCCCATTGAAATAACTGTTCTTACTTTTTTTTTCTGGCCATATCAAGAATCAAGAAGATTATAGTTTGAAGTACTAATGAATGAGTAGTGAAGTAACTATAAACTGTCATGTCTTCTAGGAACCTTTCTTTGTTCTCTCAAACTGATTACCTGTTTTCTAAAAAAGATAAATGTTTCTTGTAGACTTATTAATAACTGTACAAAGGAAATACTTGTGTATGCCTTGGACTTCTCTTTCCCTGGATGTCCACAGGTTGGCTTCACATCTTCAATCAGCCACCTGAACTTTACAATAAGATATTTTTGTAAATTGATGTCTTAGTGTAATCGTTACCTGCCATGGCTTCAATTCTGTAGTAAGAGGCTACATCCAGGAAGAACTAGAGTGATAACAGAAAACCAGCTGTAGGAGTTCTGTCTCTGTGTTGCTTTTTCTACTTGCTGATAGATTGAAAACTGTTAGCTTGTAGGACTCCTAAAAGTCTGCTCAATTGATCGTTCATTGTCCTTATCAAAAAGAGCAACTAACGTGACTTACCGTGCATTGCACCTTACCAATGGAGTTAAGTATAGAGTTCTTTCATACTAGAAGTGTGTAATATAAATTGATCCCCATGACTTGAATGAGCAAGTATATTCAATTATATGATAATGATATTATGGAAATCTAGGGGTAAGTATATATCTAGGTTGGCAAGTAGGAATTCAGTACCTGTTATTTATAGAGAAGACAGTTTTGGGATCTACCTTTGATTTCCTTTAGTGTTCACTTTCTTTTCTGAATGAGTGTTTGAAGTTAACTATAATAAAGAAATATGTGGGTTTTTGTTTTCTCTTATTGAGATTAAGTATACTCCAGTGTAATTTTTCTGAAATGTAAAAGTGTTACTTGAAGAAATATTTATTGTTTTGTGATAGTGCTTTTACAACGTTTTTTTACTTGGTTCCTCTAAGGAAGGATTTTTGTATTTTTCATTGACTTTTCTGAATTAAATGTAATCAACTAATCTTCTATGATAGATGGATTCTGGTGTTTGTAATTAGAACAAAGAAAAATTTATACCCACCTTCTCCTGTTCTTTTTTAGGTCAACGGCAAGATACAAAATTAGATGTGTGTTCTTTCCTTTTTTTCTACTTCTTTGTGCCTTACACAGGGAGTTAATAAGCAGGATAGGAATGGAGAAGAATGACTGTAGGTACCTTAGAGCTGTGGTTCTCAAACTTTTTATTTTAGGATCTCTTTACACTCTTAAAAATTGTTGAGGACCCCAAGATCTTTTATTTATTTGAGTTACATCCATAAATATTTACCTTATAGTAATTAAAACAAAAATTTGAAATATTTATAAATTTACTTAAAAATGACTAATAAACCCATTTCATGGTAATATAAATAACATTTGATAAGGAAAATAATATATTTGACATGAAAAATAACATATTCCAAAACAAAACAAACTTAGAAAAGTGGAATTATTTTCCAGTTTTGCAAATCTCTAATGTCTGGCTTAATAGAAGACATTCGCATATCTGCTTCTGCGTTCAATCTGTAGAGATAAGTTGTTTTGGTAGAAATTTATGAAGAAAATCCATTTTCACACAGATATGTTGTTGGAAAAGTTACTTTTTAAATAGCCTTTTCACATAATTATTTCTTGATACTACACTAAAACTTGACAAATGGTAATTTCTTGAAAGTTGGTTGTAATGTGGTATTTGAAACCATATCAATGACCTTTTCATACTCCATTGTGTAAAAATCTATTGGTCTGTCTGGCACTGTGAGTGGATCTTTTTTACTCATGCACGATTTTGTGACATCATGCTTTGGCCAATTGGAAAATACTGATTCACTGAGTTAGGCATATCTTTCAAATGTTGACACCCTTTATGATATATCAGAAATTTACATATCTTAATTTCACTGCTGATCTCATAAGAGAAGTCTTTTAAGTACTGAGAAGCTGCCAGCAGATACAATTATCCAAAATTCATATTTCTCCTTGAGAGCTTGAATTTTATCATTGACAACAAATACTGTCAGTTTTCTTTGAAGTTAAAGTCTTCCTTTATTCATTTTTAAGAAAAGGTCTGCCAGATACCCAAGTCTGAGAAATCAAGTCTGAGAATCAGGGCTTTCTTCTAAAACAACATGCCAATATAAAGAAGTGAGACCATTTGAAACCAGTTACGTGGTTTCAACCCCTCAGTTTTGTTGTACATTCCTCAATCTTGAGGTAATGGGGTGAAAACTGCTCTAGCTACTTCCTGCTAAGAGGTGCAGATCAGGGTTAGAGGAATGGAATTGTTTTGCTTTTAGTTGTAAATACTCATGGATCCCAGGTTACCTAAAAGAATTGTTGTTATGACAGCTACTTTTATGATTGGAAGGGGGTTGGTTCTTGGATTGTATCTGGCACAGGTTAGGCAACTCTGGAGGACCTTCTGAGTAGTCTTTTGCATATGGGAACCAACAGAAACCTTTATAGCCACTGATAGTTTGTATCTCATAATGGGTTCCCTGATGTAGGTGAGTAATTATATCCTCTGTTAGGTTTTCAACAATAAGCACTATTCCCTGTTCATTATACATCCAACCCTTTTTAGTTATCTAGGGAGCCTGTATGGAACCCATTCATTGGCCCTTTCTATGTTCATTTCTGCGTACTTGGGCTTGAACAGTGATATATACACACTTGGTATGAGAGCTTTTGTATCTGGCTCCTTTGTCCTAGCTGCTTGCTTGGCAGGCCTGGTTGGCTAAGTTATTTCCTTTGACTATATGATTGTTGGCCTGTTGGTGGCTCAGGAAATAGCCAAATCTGTTGGCATCATAATAGAATGTAACAAGTCCAATATTTCCTTAGCATGTTTAATTTCCTTTTTCTTTGAAGTTAGTAGACTTCTCTTTTTCCATATGGCCCCAGGTGTATGTGCTACAGAGAAGGCATATTTAGAATCAGTATAAGTGGTTACCTTTTTCTTTGATCTGAGGAGAGGGCTTGTGTGAGATCAGTGAGTTCTGCCTTTTGAGCAGACATACCTACTGGGGGAGCCTTGGCTTCTGGGACTTCCTGAAGAGTTACCACTGCATACCTAGCTTACTGAAGTCTTTGGTCCATGAAACTACTTCTGTCTTTAAACATTTCTAAGTCTGGATCCTTCACTGGCTGGTCAGTTAAGTTAGGCTGGCTGGAATAAACTCATTCGATTATTTGAATGCAATCATGGATAGGTTCTTCTGAGGAGCTTGGGAGCCCAGTAGCTGGATTCAGGGAAGACACTGTCTGTAGTTTCACATTTGGACTATCCAACAGTGTGGCCTGGAATTTGCCTAATCTCTCAAAAGTAAGCCAGTATCCCCCTTTCTGCTTGAGAAGGGGCAACAAAA